CCTGTGGTTTTTGATTTTTTTTAAATCCAATTTCTGAGCTAGAATGCTCTTCTTCGAACTTGATCTGTCTTTTTATATCACTAAACGACCCTGAAAATCCCAGGTCGCTTGCTCAATTCGTTCTCGAGTTATCGTGATGACAGACAAACACACACACAAACAGACAGACGCGAAACTTTTTGATCATCACTGGAGTAATAGGCTTCGCTAATCGCTCAGCCAATAATATATTTTTTTCTAGAAAATATTTGATGGTCTCCTGTGGGGTAACTCGTCCGTTTCGCTCTGTTTCGCACCGTTGAGTCGCTTGAGGGAGGCCGAAGGCTCGTCCTAAATGCCGCCGGCAGGCCAAGCTAGGCCCGGTCCCTTGCGAACCGAGTTGCCGGTGGAGCAAAGCGGAGGTGGCAACTTGGTTTGGCGGAAGAGCGGGCCTAGCTTGTTACTCCATGTAGATGTACGCCAGTCCATGTCTCGCGTAACAGGTTTCGCGATTTTTCACGAAACACTGTTCCGCTGCGACGCGCCTGGCATATATCTACCTAGGCCTGCAGCGCTGACACCCGAACCCGAGTCAGGCTTACCGTAATGCTGTTCAGTGTACAGTAGAGCGCTTATCAGTGCTGGTGACGTGAGCGAGGACGCTGTGACTCGTTCCCAATATCGACTAATGCCTCTCCTAGCACACGCCTTGTACCCAGCATCATTCCGTCTTGAAGGTACTGCGGGCACTTGACTGTGATCATAGCCTGCTCGACACGCGCTGCGTCGATGATCCGTCCACCGTCCCCGGACAGGTTAAGCACCCTTTTCCACGCCGTCAAACTGTTAATTTTTTTTGTGGAACTTCTACAGACCCTGATGGAACTGCGGGATAGGATCCGTATGTAAAAGTCTGGTAAAATTACCATAGTCTGTAAAATTACAGACACTAGTAAAACTAACTCCACAACATTTCTGTAAATCTGATACCAAACGTTTCTGTAAAATTTTTTACAAACGTTTTCTGTAAATTTTACCCACATGATTCTGACGTTATAATACATGCAAGAAATAAATATTTTCGGCGGCCGTTTTCTCCTTTCATATATAGTCAACCGCCTACGAGTTTCATTGTTAAAAGTAACTGTACCGCTTGTACCCCAGGCGGGATCGAACTCCCGACCTCATGGTCGTGAGCCTGATGCGTTGCACAGTGCGCTACGGCGCGCTCCGTGCTGGTAGCCAGTCTGTACTCAATCTGTTGCTCCGACTGTGCACCCGGGTTTCCATGCGGTTAACTACCTTATTTCATGACTTTGGTTAGTGATAGGGTATTCCGCTACAGTACAATCGGAACCAAAAGAAGAAAAGTACGACTACCCGATCTGTTTCCTCTTGAACGTTGATTGGCCAAAGATGGCGTGGCTGTGGCGGTCAGCCAATGAGCGCGCAAAGGGAAACACATCGAGCAGTCATGCTTTTCGTCTTTTGGTTCCGGTTGGCTTGGAGCGGAATACCCTATTGTCCGCAACATCGGGTGTCTTTCGTTGTTTGCTGTTAGAATGCACTATGCATGCATGCACATGGTACCGCCGGTTCGTGCCAGAGTTTTCTTTCTTTTTCAGCCCGCTCACGCAGCTGACGGGGAAGATCGCGCGCAGGTCAAAGACGGATGACTGTGAAAATGCTTTTCTAGCCCTCACTACCAAATAGGGTGTTCCAGGCTATCTAAAACGGAAGTGAAAAACAAACTCCCTGATTTCTCTGTTTCCGCCTGTTCAATGTGAGAAATTACCATGGTAGTTTGTTCCGATTCTTACGTCTCATGGGACCTCGAAACTGGTCTGACTGTTTTTCGTACCAGAAAGGCCGTAGCGGGACGTGATTAGCTCGACCAATCAGAGCCATTACGGAACCAGGAAAGTCAGTGAGCTTGTCCTTCTCCTGCTTCCGTTAAGGATAGCCTGGAACACCCTATTAAAGGAAGATGTACGCCAGACCACGTCTCGCGTAACAGGCTTTGCGATATCTCACGAAACACTGTTACGCTGCGACGCGCCTGGCATACACCTACATAGACCTGCGGCACTGACACCGGAGTCAGGCAAAAGGCACGGCCGTAAATAGGCCTTCGTCCCCAAAAGCCACAAATTTGTGCCTCGGGGTTTTACTTTGACGAGTTAACACACCGGAGACCATCAAACATCTGAGTAACAAGCAGACATTTTACGATTGGACGCCTCCTTGTACGTCTTTAGGTGCAACGTGGTCATTTTCGCCGTTTTTTCGTCGAAAAAAGCACTGCAGCGCCCAAACGGTGCAAGATAGAGTCAAACGGTCAAAATTTTCGCCCAAGGGGTTCTTCTTTCACGAGTTACCTCTTAGAAGGCCATACAAAAAATATTGTTTTTCTACTCTTTGGACCAACCCGTATTTCGTTGTTGCCCCTTTCACCCTCTTAGGGGTAGTTGCCAGGATTTGCACCAGGCGTTTCGTTGTCCAGGAGTGACCCCTAAGATACCCTGAAATTTGTAGACCTCTAGCTCATCTCCTTCCTCTTACACGGACGACAGACAGACAGACACGAGAGCGGTTGCATAAGCCCGCTTTAATGCTTTTTTAAAAGCAGAAGGGCGGGCTAAAAACATTAAAATGTTGTGGGGTGATTTTCGTATTAAGAACGCCCTCTGGCGCCCAAACGGTTCGAGATAGAGCGAAACGGACAAAATTTTGGTTTAAAGGATTCTACATTGACGAACTCCTTCTGAGAAAGATGCTACAAAAAAGTTTTTAAATATAGAAATGTTTTGGGCTCTTTGTTTTTGATTTTTTTGACACGTCAATTTTTGAGCCAGAGGGCTCAAAATCAATACAGTCCTTCCTTTTTATGATACAAAGCAACAATAAAAATTAGAGTGTCTGAGCCTCTTGATCTCGGCGTCCAGCTTGGAGAGTGGGGCCTTCCTGACCCGGGCTGTGAGGAGGCAGAACTCGACCTGGGGTACAACGAAGGTACTATTGCAGGTCTTGCAGCATGTTCTCCAGGGTAGCCTTGGAAGTCTGGTCGATAGAACAGTCTGTAGCGACCACGGGTACGGGTAGCGACGGGGTGTTGGTAGGCGTCCTTCTCCCGTAGTGATGGTATCTGCTGGCCCTGGGTGATGGACTGCCTTCCTCTTGTGCATTTCGTACTTCGCTACGCTGCCGATGACTTCGAGGATCTGCTGCAAACAAGTAGGATTTTTGGCTGGCATGACTAAGTTATCGGCATATGCTAGGCAGCCAAAAGGTTTTCCAAAAACTTCAAAATGAGCTTCGCTGCAGGCTGCAGGCAAGCACTGCGCGCAGTCCTTGCACAAGTTCTCTAAGATGGGGGCAGGGGGCACACCACACACCATGCTGTTTAAGGATAGAGAATATCACTGACCGAGGCACTGAGCCAAGTATACTTCTCAGATCTAGTCAGGCAACTGCTAGATGGCGGCTGGACACCTTCACCTCTTTGATGCACTGCTTGAGAACGAAATTGTGAGTGTGTCCGAATTCTCAATCGTATCGCTACGAATCGGTCGGAATGACGAAGGGGAGGGGAGGGTCAGCAAAGAGGGCAACCTGCAGCCATCCCTCGCGAAAGGATGTCGCGATTCGCGCTCGTCCGCGGGGGTAGTCGCGAACCGCGACAAACTTAGGTCGTCGATGTAGGTCGGTCGCGGTTCGCGACTACCCCCGCGGACGAGCGTGAACAGCGACGTCCTTTCGCGAGGGCAGGCTGCAGGTTGCCCTCCCTGCTGACCACCCCCTCCCCTTCGTCATTCCGACCGATTCGTAGCGATACGATTGGGAATTCGGACACACTCTGTGGTCATGACACCCCTCACTTGGCATGAAACCCTTCTGACAAGGTGAGACCGCCCCAGTGGCGGCCACCCAACGCCCACGGCGTGCGGCCAGGATGCCTGTAAAAAGTTTGTAAAAGCAGTCGCATAGTGAAATAGGGTATTTCAATAGAGCGCTGCCCGGAACTATGAAGAACAAACCGGGGGCGAGCGCGCAGGAGCGGCGGTTGGAGGGGAGCCTCCCCGCCCGCCCTCCGCTCCTCCGCGCGCCCGCCCCGACCTCCGCTCTCCGTATCCGGTTGTTCTTCTTAGTTCCGGGCAGCGCTCCATTGAAATACCGTATTGGTCTCCAGTTCGAAAGATCTTTCTGGTCACACAGTAGGCGCTCGCTATAGTTCTACCTCGGGTTCAGAATTGGAGTGGGTGAGTGGGGTCCCCAGAGGCGGAACTATATCGAGCGGCTTCCCCCACGTCTCTACTGCGCTCTCTCTCACACTGCGAGCGGCTTGAGGGAAGGTGGGGGGGAGGAGAGGGGAGCCGGTTATCGCTCGGAGTCGGAGAACCAGGCCTGGCGGGGAGGGAGCACGGGCGGAACTATAGCGAGCCCTCACTGTATAGGGTGCACAGCATTTCACCTTCTGAAAAACTGACCTTCCCGCGCTGAACCGACCGCAACAACTAGGCAGGCAGCGCTATTGTTCATTGCCGCGAACTGGAGAGCCAATGTTTCGATTAATGGTTTGCAAAACCTAAAGCGCTCTTCAAGGTGATGTACTGGATTATCATTGAAGTGAGTTTGACAGGTAAAAAAGCAGTACATAAATAGAATTTTAGTTAAACTTTGTTGGCTGAGCGATTAGCGAAGCCCATAACTCCACTGACCGGAAAAGTTTCATTTTGTTTGTATGTTTAATTGTTTGTTTGTCTGTCTGTCTAACTCGAGAAAAAATTGAGAGAGCGATCTGGGAATTTCAGGGTCGTTTTGTATTATAAAAAGACAGATCGAGTTCGAAGATGAGCATTGTAGCTCAAAAATTGACTTTTACTAAAATCAAAACCCACAGGTCGCAAAACATTACTATTTCCAAATATTTTTTATGGGCTGCTAAGGGGTAACTAGTGAAAGTAGAACCCTTCGGGCGTCCGTTTTGCTCTATCTTGTACCGTTTCGGCGCTATAGGCCTTTCTTGGCGAAAACAACGTGAAAAAGACGATATGGTCTATTTAATCGTTAAAAAGGCTTTATGTCGGAGAATTTTATAGGGAGTAATACTTAAACCACACATTACGGGTCGCACCACACCCTCTTTTGGGCTTCAGGGTCCCAAGATTATCTAGTATCACTAATACGTTGATTTTTACATAACAATCTGCCAAAATTCGAACTTTGAATAAAACCCGTTACCGAACAGCAGAAGTTTCATGTCCCTTATTTTAGAGTGAGACCCCGACAAATGGTTCGAGTATGTCAAATTTTGGGCCCGGAAGGGCCTGTTCCCCTATACCCTCTCCTGAACACGTCTCGGGTGTCAGCGACGCAGGCCTAGCTATATGTGCGCCAGGCGCGTCGCAGCGTAACAGTGTTTCGTGAGATATCGCGAAGCCTGTTACGCGAGACGTGGTCTGGCGTACTTATAGCTAGTTTAAAAATATTTTTGTTACAGTTTCTTAACGGATAACTCATGAAAGTAAAATTCTCTGAGAGAAAATTTCGTCTGTTTGGCTCTGTCTTAAACCATTTAGGCGCCATAGGGTGTTTTTCACGAAAATAAGCGAAAAAATGTTCAACCCTGCATGCTGAGTCGAAGTGACGGGAAGCTGACGGGCCCGTATCTTTGTGCACACAACAAACAAACAGAATGAAACTTTTCCGGTCAGTGGAGTTATGGGCTTCGCTAATCGCTCAGCCAACAAAACAAATCTTGCTAACTTACAGTTGCACTGTTGTTATCCTGTTGCTGTCCTATAAAAAGTCAATTTTGAGCTAGAATGCTCATCTTCGAACTCGATCTGTCTCTTTGTGATACAAAACGACCGTACAATTCCCAGATCGCTATCTCAATTCATTCTCGAGTTATCGTGCGGACAGACAAACAAACACAAAATCAAACACACAATCAAACAGAATGAAACTTTTCGGGTCAGTGGAGTAATGGGCTTCGCTAACCGGTCAGCCTATTATTGTTTGTTAGCCCTTGTCCATCTTGCCTTTCCGACAGTCCCTAGTGAAAAGATGGGATCAAAGTGACGTCAATACATCAAAGAGAATCTTCTTGACAATATGAGGTCCAAATGACTTTTCACGGGGACGTTCAGCTACAGAACTGGTTCTAATATAGATTTCATGAGCTTCTACCAATATTACAAGAGGGAAATACGACATTTACCTTCATTTGGTGGGCACCCTGACGTCCGCAGGTCAGGGCTTGGCAAGACCCACTGGTAAGCACGGGGTGCTGGTGGCGGTGACGGCGTCTCGGGCGGTGAGTGCGGTGGCGTGCAGATGATGACGCAGCGAGCCAGCGACGTGGATGCCATTGTCAAATGTGGGTGTTCTGTCGGCATCTTACTGTTAAAATCGGTTCGTGAGAGAGCCCCCTCCCCCGGCCCCTTACCCTTCCCCCCTCCCCTTCCAGGATGGCATGTGACGGGGTGGTCGTCGAGAGGACAAGCACTTCTTAATGATTCATGAATTTACAAGGTAGATGTACGCCAGACCGCGTCTCGCGTAACAGGCTTCGCGATACCTCACGAAACACTGTTACGCTGCGACGCGCCTGGCATACATCTACCTTGGCCTGCGGCGCTGACACCCGAGTCAGGTAGTGCAAAAAATTGCACAAA